CCTGCTGGCCTCTGTGGAAGCTCCGCCACAGCCACCACCAAACAACTGGGTTATTTTTACCAATCCACCACCTCTCATTGTTTATACTGTTATAAAAAAAAAATAAAAAATCACCATGGCCCACAGGCAAATGCCCGGTATGCCTGATGGCCAGTCCAGCTATGGCAGGAAGTAGGAGATTCTGGGGGATGATGCTGCCCTAAGCCCAGTACTACCAGGATAGAGTGCTGATGTTAGTGGGACGGCCTTCTGTGGTCCTCCATCAATGACCTCAGATTGTTCCAGTGTCACTTTGACACAGTTTATATGTGCTTAACTATTAATGACACAAACGACTGGTGTGACTCCGCCTCTCTGACCCAACACTGACAACAGGATTAACTTTGACCATTTTTGCCTCTTTTGTGGGGCAGCAGCTTCACCTTGCAGCCACATGGAGACCACAACTGTTAGTCGTAGTGACAGCTACACGCACAAACAGGTGGAGCAGCTTCAGCAGAGGCCGACTGCACGGCGTCCACCAGCATTGAGACGAAACTGCTCTGACTAAAACAAAATGAGCTTTACATTTCAAGTGTGCTTGTTAAGATTTGAATCTTAAGTCATTTATTTATTCATTTACTAGTTTTGACTAGTAAAAGCATAAAAGCAAAAACACACAATACTAAATTATGAATACTGATTCCTGTGTCCATGCAGGTTGAATCCCAGCCAATCCCTGCACAGAAATGTCTGAAGATGAGTTAATAATTATAAGAATTCAACTGCTCAACGAACAGAAAGAGGGCTCCCTGATAACTGACTATAAATTAATAATGTGCCATTAGCAACGAACAGCTCCTCGTATCGAACACGTATGAAAATATCTGCGGGAGAATATCCTGAGAGAACAAGACGTGATATAACGTAGGAGTTATTCTGGGAGACATAAGCCCGCCGACACACGCTGAGTCCAAGTTATTGCACACACACACGCTGGTGTGCGTGATGCATGAAGGGAAAGTGGAGTTACATAACAGGCATAACAGAAAGGTCTGCTGACAGACGTCTAAACAGCAGAGCGCTGGGAAACGTAGCTGCTGCAGGGTGACAGTAAGAGCTCCATGATTCAGTTTAAACACCAGCAGGCCGAGTCCACGAAACAAGATTCCTTTATTCAAATCTGCACAAACTGATTCATCTTTGTTCTTTCAGTGTGACACAATAACAGTTGCACAGTACAGGAGGCGTTACTGAGACTTGTGTACAAGAGTGTGAGTCAACTGATTTCACAAAGTTCTGTTTTTATTGTATAAACAAATAAATAAGAAGAATAAAACAAACACTGAAATCAAACAAAGCTAAACCAACAGTAAACATGTTCCAACAATAACAAATAAACTGAATTAGAAATAAAATAATAAAAATATAAAACTGTAAAACTCTGATTAGCGGTTGTTTGTAGCTTAGCAACACTGCAGTTAAAACAGCCTGTGCACAAAAATAATAAGCAGCTTCTTACATTAGCTTCATGTCCTGCTCTCAGATATTAGCCACGCTAACACGACGATACGCTAACACGACGATACGCTAGCTGACGTTAGTCGAGAAAATCATCTTCTTATGTTGCTCTAGCTTCATTTACTGCTGTTAGCCTATTTAAGGTTTACCTTAGCTAAACTAATGTCACATTAGCACGCTATCTGATAGCTTTGTGCCCCATTAACTAAGAATTGATAACTTAGCCACATTAGCATTGTGTTAGCTTCACAGTAGGGGTGGGTTTTGATGATCGATTTATCGATTAAAATCGATTCTGGCTTGGATAGCGTGATATCGATTCATTAAAATCCTGAATCGATTTTTTTTAGTATAAATTTATTTTGCCTGAAACGCCAGAATCTCAGGTTAAACCTCACAACATTTCAACAACCACCAAACAGCTAAAACAGTAAATGAGATCAGGAACACGGATTCTGCAAAAAGACGTAAACACAAAGCTTGAACCCGCTGATGGATCAGAATCAGTGAGATGTGACTTTCTCACAGTCGGGGCTGAAAGCCGACAGCTCGCTGATTCTGATGTTTTGGCGGGTCGAGCTTTGTGTTTACGCCCTTTTTGCTGATTCTAAAGCTGTTAGTTTGATCTCTCTCCAAACAATATTGACTGAACCAGCAGCAAAAGAAGATCCAAACTACGCTTCACATAAACATCGTCATGAATTCACTCTGACTTTTACTGTTTTGCTTCCAACACGATAAAATCTCACTTCATGCACAGCTCTCTCTCTCTCTCTCTCTCTCTCTGTACTTCATGAACAGTTTCCCGTCTAAAAATCTGTTTTCTGCATCATTCGCTTGCTTGTTACGCACAAGTCTACCGTTGTTTACAGGCTGTCGGACGATGTTTTTTTCCCTTTTACTTACTTCCGAAAAGAAAACCTAATTTTTGCCGTTCAACAGGCTTCTGAACAAATTTAAACTTTTTAAAATTATACAAAACGCCGTGTCTGTAATAAAACTGCTGTAACTTCAGAGGTGATGTTCATAAGTTGATTAATGATTTTCTTTTGTTTTTGATGTGCTGCAGAATATTTTTATAAAATCCAGAACAGGAAAATCTCCTTCATGTTTTTCTGTGTTTTATCCTCAGTTACTTTGACACAAAGGCCTCTGCTGTGACGCTCACACCTTTGATAAAGTCTCACAAGTGTCAGCTTCCTTTTTATAGATACAAAAATATGTAAATGTACTGATCTGAATTATAATATTTCTGACTGTCTGAGGCAAAATTTCCCAGATTTAAATCAAACTGAAGCGAATCGTGGATCGAATCGATTCTAGAAATCAGTGACGATACCCAGCCCTACTTCACAGCCTGATGTTAGAGTGGCCCTTCTTGTGTTAGCTCTGAGTTATAATTGAGTCTGAATAATAAAACAGGCAGTATTATGGTACCGATTACCCCTCTTTAAGTTTTATTGTAACACCTGGGCGAGCAGCCATCATTTTATCAGACTGTTAGTAACTCTGTTTGGGAACTGAGGGAGATCTGGACTCACAAATGGTTAATGATGTCAGAGGTTCTGTCGTGCTGCTGCGTTTTGTTTCAAACGGAAATGTGACCACTTACATCTTTGTGTGCCATCTGTAAAGAAGTCGTCACAATCAGTTCAAACCCAAACAAACACATCACCTCTGACAGTGTTCTTCATGTATAGTGAAGGTCGGCCTAAGAGCCGGTTCACACCGGAGGAATGAGTCAGCCTCTCCTGGCAGCAGCAGCAGCATCATTATACCCCCACGAGCAGCTCACAGCAGCACCACAACCACACAAACACTCTCACAGTGCACGTTTGGAGTAGATGGGAGAGTGGAGTGTTTTTGTGGAGTTACACAACACTCAGAAGGATGTTATAAAAGAGCCGATCAGACCGTAAACAAGCGCTTGGCCCGTCTTCGCGTGTCTCATTTGGGAGTAATTATCAACGGCTCATAAAAGCACAGAGAATAAACTAGCAAGCTGTTTGTGTGCATTTTTCCGAGCTCGCGTCAATGCTAATCAAGGCTTCCCCATGTGGTTTGGCTCAGCTTTGCACTGCAGCCAGCTCTTCTCTGGACTCGGCAGGAGAGCAAAGCCCCCTCCTGGACCTGAGAGCCAGTCCCACAGTTTCACCACAGCTATGTCTGTGTGCCGTCATGCCTCCCGTTAGAGGAGATGACCCAGAAACAGCAGAAACCAGCGGTTTTCCATCAGCCTGAAACCGTCCTCACACCAAGGAAAACCCAGAAACGGCACGACTCGAGGCCTCTGCTGATGTCGCTGCTACTGACTAATCCACCCAACGGTCGTCACGTCTGAGAGACCAAAGACAAAAAGTTACTAAACAAAAACTGATTTCTGTTCATCAGCAGTGTCACAGCTGAGGTTCAGCAAACATTCAGATCAACATGTCCAACGTAGTTCCTCCAGAAAACCACAGATCTCTAGTTTCCCTGTTACTGTATCAATGAACACTTTATCCTACAGTTTCCACAGTTTCTCAGAACCCAGGATGTGTGTTCAAAACCAATTTACTGCATGAAAGGACCCAACAGCATGGTGCAAACTGCGCCCAGTACAGAAGCAGCTGCATTATAGTGCTAACATCTGCACAGGTAGCATGCTAACACTTAGCTAGCCAAGAACCCAGACTGATGGTGAAGCTGGGTGTATGCAGACCCCGGCCCAGCAGCCAGAGCCTGAACATCAACAGGTAACAAACTGATGAGCAGTCAGCCTGTTCCTACCTGTCCAGAATCACCGTGGTGACCACTCCGAAGTGTCTTTGTGCTGGTTTCCATCTTTGCTTTTTGTTCATACCTGAACAATTAAAGAAAGAGCGTACCTGTGTCCTCATCAGGACAATTTACGGAGTAATGAGAAAGCAATGGAACAAAAAACTTTCTTCAGCGTAATTAAGTAACGCAGCGCATCACTTTTAAGCAAAGTAATGAGTAATGTGTAATAGATTACTTTTTTGAGTAATGATTTTGCTCCATATTGTAATTCTTTGCTTGACTCACAGTTCAGAATAATCCTTCATCTCATACGGAGACTGGCTGCCCCTCACAACAGAAGGTTTAAATAGCAAGTGGGCGGGGCTTCTGTGCCTGAGATTGACCGTATAAGGATATAACCTCCCTATGACATCATACAAAGCCAACGCCATAAAAAACTGGTGTAAACTGAGTGTTTAGATCTGAGCTTTGGTCTCACAGTGATTAATGAACGTAGGCTGAGTTGATTATTATCACTGGATGTCATTTCACTGTTAGGAGACACAAATATTACTGATGGTGTATCTGTGTGCGATATTTTAAAAACAGGATGATTGGATAAAACTTACTACAGATTTTTATACATTTTCTATTTTTTGAATTTACTTCTTTCACTTCAGAATTAGACATGAGAGTACGGCCTTCCTTCCTCCAGGATGATTCAGAGACCACGTGGGTGTTTTTCTGCATCCACAAAGCATGGTGCTGGCCTGTCATCTGTGACCTTTGACCTCCTCACTGCAGGCTGTGGCTGGTGATGTCAGCAGGCCTTTTTATGTGCGGGGGAGATTTTTTGGCGTGTGAGGACTCATCTCCTGAGCCAGCAGACTGTTCTCTGCTGGTAAATCGTTTTGTGTCCAAGTATAAAACATGAAAACACGAGTCTGCTGTAAACAGGTGAGTAACATCACCTGCTGCTGCTGCACGTCACGTCTGACCACGGTGGAGCTCAGATCATCTATGAAACTGTCCTAAAAGCTCAGTTTGGACTTTTCTGCAGGGAGATGACAGCCGTGTGCAGGACGTTACATGTTTAAATATGAAATCAGTTTTTATGACAGCAGGTTGAGCGTGTGGTCATGTGACTCGTGAGCACAGCGTGTTACATCGTGTGTCAGCGCGTGAACTTGGAGCTTCAACTCGTCCTGTCACCCTCCTGCAGGCCGAGCATGAGTCATGAGCAGCTGCC